TTGGATTTTTGATGGGCATTGCATTGAATCTGTAGATTGCTTTCAGTATTATAGCCAATTTTTACAGTATTTTAATATTTCTCCCTTTCCATGAACGTGAGAGGTATTTCCATCTTCTAGTGTCTTCTTCAGTTGTTTCCTTCACTGTTCTTATAGTTTTATTGTAGAGGTCTTTCACCTCAGTTAAATTTATTCCTAGATTTTTATTTTGCTATTATGAATGGGATTGACTTCCTTCATTTCTTTCTCAGTCTGTTTCATTGGTTGTATTGTAGAAGGTTACTGATTTTATATGCTGATTTTGTATCTGCTACTTTGCCCTAAAGTGTAATAGATCTAGAGGGTTTTTTTTTTGGGTGGAGTCTTTAAGGTCTTTTCAGTATTAGAATCATATTATCTGTAAATGGGAATTAACTTCAACTTCTTCTTTTCCTATTTTGTATCCCTTTTATTCCTTTCTTCTTACCTTATTTCTCTGGACCAAGAATTCAAGCGACTGTTTACTGAATAAAATGGGGAGAGAGAGAGGAGAGAGAGAGAGGACACCCTTTCTCATTTCTTACTTCAAGAGGGAACACTTTCAGTTTTCCCCATTTAGTACTGTGGTCAAACTATAGTTTGCCATACATTAGCATTTTTTTTATGTTGAAAAGGTACATTTCTTCTATTCCTTGTGTCCTCAGGGCTTTTATTATTGAGGGATGTTTGAATTTGTCGAAGGCCCTTTTCTGTTTGCAATGAGATGTGATTATCCTCCTTTATTCTTGTTATGTGCTATATAATATTTTTTGATTTGGCATATGTGAGGCCATCCTTGCATCACTGGAATGAAACCAGTTTGATCATGTGTCTGATCTTTTAATGTATTGTTTAATTGGTTTGAAAGTATTTTATTGAGGAAATTTTTGCATTAATGTTCATCAAAGAAATTAAGTACAATAGTTTTTCTTTTTTTGTTTGTTCCTTTTCCAGTTTGGTTATCAGGGTGATACTGGCTTTTTGAGTTTTGTAGCACTCCTTCCTTTCTATTTTATGGAAATAGTTTTTGGGGAGCATTCTTTAAAATGTGATAGAATTGTAGCAGAATTCACCAGGGGGCCTTTCTTTGTTGGGAGAGTTTTTATTAACTATGTTCCAGTCTTACTGCTCGTTAATAGACCTGTTTGTTTTTGATGCAATTTGGTAGGTTCATATGCATCTACATATTCATCCCTTTCTAGATTTTCCAATTTTTTTTGGACTGTAAATTTTTGGAAAATAACTCCCTAAGGATCTCTTTGAATTTTCATTGGTATTTGTGGTAATTCCCCTTTCATCTCTATAATTTTACTGAATTTGAATCTTTCCCTTCCCCTCTGTCTTTTTGGTTTAGTTAAGTAAGGTTTCAACCTTGCTTACCTTTTTCAGAGAACTAAAACTTTTTCATTTCATTGTTCTTTGTTGGTGTTCTTCAGTTCCCTATCTCACCAATTTCTTGCCCGGAATCGTTTACTATTTCATCTACTCATGTTTGGTTGCCTTGGCCCTTCCTCTTCTAAGACTTTTTTTTTTTTTTTGCTTGCATACAGTAAAATCCTTATTTACTTTATTTATTTATTTATTTATTATTCATTATGTGCAGTACAAGCTTCTGGGTCCATTTCTCCCCCCTTCCCCCACCCCCTTCCGTACCACCCACTCTTGGCCCCTTCCCTCTTCCCCCCCACCCCCTCGATACCCTGCCAGACCCACTCTTTTGCCCTTATCTCTAATTTTGTTGAAGAGAGAGTATAAGCAATAATAGGAAGGAACAAGGGCTTTTGCTAGTTGAGATGTAAAGATTAGCTATACAGAGAAAGTGACTCGCATTGATTTTTCTATGCATGTGTATTATCTTCTAAGTTAATTCTTTGATCTACCTTTTCTGTAGTTCCTGTCGCCCTTTCTCCTATTGGCCTCAGTGCTTTTAAGGTATCTGCTTTAGTTTCTTCTGCATTGAGGGCAACAAATGCTAACTAATTTTTTCTAGGTTGTTAAAGACTTTAAAGATCCCTCTGACTTATTAGTATGCATAGCTATACACTTTTCTTCTTAGCACTGGCTTTTGCTGTGTCCCAAAGGTTCTAGTAGTTTGTGTTTTCATTTTCAGGTTGATGTCTAAGTAATTTTTTACTTCTTCCCTTATTTGTTTGATTGAACCCAGTGATCATTCAAAAATGTATTGTATTGATTGCCTAGTGTGGTACAGCTAATGACTGTAATTGGCGGCTATTTGGGATTTACAGAGATTGAGAGGATCAAGGGCTTGAGGCCAGTTTTGAAGCAAACAGTTTAGCAAGTCTTCATCTCAACAAAACAAGGCTGGGCGTGGTGGTACATACCATGTAAATGTACATACCATTGTAATTGTCTGGGAGGATTACCATGTAATCCTAGCCCACATGGGAAGTCATAGGTAGGCTTATGTTGTGGTCAATGGCCCAGGGCCTTGGGCAAAAAGTGGCAAGACCTCTCTAAAAATAAACCAGAGCAAAAGTCTGGGAGTATAAGGTCAGTTACTAAGAAAGCTCCCAACAAATGCAAGCCATGAATTCTTTCCCCACCAGTACCACCAGGAAAAAAAAACATACATTGCCATCTCCATGTGCTTGATATTTTCTGGTTTGTAATTTTATTTCCATTTTGATCTGGACAAAAATACAGGAAATATATCAGTTTTTGTATTTGTTAAGACTTGCTTATGTCCTAAAAAACAGTCTATTTCAGAGAAAGTTCGGCGTAGCTGCTGAGAAGAACCATGTATTTTCAAGCTGTTGGGTGGATTTTCTTATATGTTTGTTTAACTATTTGATCTGTAGTGTTTCATTGATTCTGAAGTTTTCCTGTAGTTTTTTGCTGGATGGACCATGTATTGGGTGAGGAGTGAGGTATTAAAGTCACCCACTATTATTGTGTTAAGGTTGTCTGTGCTTTTATATCCAGTAGTGTTTCCTGAAAACTGGAGGGTGTTGACATTCGTGTATTGCTTTGCAGGTTCCATTACTTGGAAAAAGTTTTACTTATTCTTTGGCTTTTAAGCCTGTGTTTGTCTTTGCCAGTTGAAGTTTTACATTCTTGTAGTCAACAAATAGTTCCATCTTGTTTTAATCCCAATTGACCAGGTGTATTTCTTTATTGAGGAATTGGGGACCATTACCATTTAGTTACTATTGAAATGTATGTTAGGTAATTTTGTCATTTTATTGGCTTTTCGTGTGTTTGATTCTTCCCTATTACCTCATTCTTATTTGTCTAGTTGAGATTTATGCTTTCCCCTTATTTTCATGGTTTTGTTAAGTTGTCCTTTTCTGGGTGTAGGATTCCCTTTGTATTGGCTGTTAGTGGTCATGAATTCCTTTGGTTTTGTTGATTGTGGAAATTTTTTATTTATCCTCGATTATGAAGGATTAGCTTTACCGGAATATAGTAATTAAGGTTGATTAGCTGTTTCTTTAAAGGAGTTGAAATACATCAATTCCCATGCTCTCCTTGCCTTTTAGAGTTTCTGTTGAAAAACTACTGTTATCCTGATAGTTTTATATTAGGTGACTTGGTTGCTTCTCTCTTGCAGCTTTCGGTTACTTTTTTCCTGTTCTGTGATATTTCAGTGGTTTTAACTATACTATGAATGGAGAGGTTCTTTTTCTGGTTCTTGTTCTGTTTGGTGTTCTAAAAGCTTCCTGTAACTGGATGACATCTCCTAAATTCAGGAAGTTTCTGCAATTTTATGAATATATTTCCATGCTTTTAGGCTTGCACTCTCCTCCCTTATGCCATGATCATAGGTTTTGGTCTTTTAATAGTGTTCCAGAGATCTTGTATTTTTGATTCATTACTTTTTTTTCCTTCCTGTCATTCTCTGGAATGCTCTAATTTATTCTGGCCTTTGTCTTCAATTCCTCATGTTTCTGTTCTCTGCTTTGATCTTGCACTATTGGTAAGTCTTAGAAACTGGTTTTTACTTGGACTTATAAGCTTTTCTAGAATTTCAATTTAGTTTTGTCGTCAGGATTTCTGATATCTTTTTGAATTTCCTCTTTCATATTCTGCATGTCTTTCCTTATTTCATTCAGGTGCTTACTTGTATTCTTTTGGAATTCATTTAGGTGTTTATTTCATTTCCAATTTCGGGTTGATCATTTTACAGTCATTTTTTTTGGAATACCTTGTCTAAGATTTCATCCACTTCATTTATTAGAGTCTGTTGTATTGTGGAGTTTTTTGGACTTTTGGAGGGATCGGTTGCCTGTTTTTCGTATTTCTTGTGTTGTCTGCAATGAGATTTCCACCATTTGGGAAGTTACTGAGTTTTATTGGAAGCCATTTAATAATTCCTGTGCTTTTGTACTTTTAGTGCTTGATTCTTCCTAATCATCCTTTGCTTACCTACGTGTTTTCTAGTGAGATTCATTGTTGTGGTTCATCTTTCTTCTTCTGTGTATTAGATGGAGGTTTTTATCCCCTTGTTAATGTTCAGTTGAAATATTCTCAGTTTCGGCAAACTGAGTAGGCAGCCTGGGTTGATGTGCAGGGTGATGTGATGTCACCACTGGGCTTGGCATATTAGCTCAGTTTGTGATCATCAGGAACCATTCGGAAGAAACTACCTGGAGTCTCATAGTTCCTCTGGAATAGTGTGGTGCTGTATTGTTGACCTGAAGGCCAGGTCAGCCATGCTTTCAGTTGTCAGCTTCATAGTTACGGTCCTTGTTACTAGAGGTGCTTTGCTGGCCACAAGGAGCTTTGCAGCTGGTTGGGTTAGGCAGGTTCCCCCTTATTTCTTAGCATCCACCATCCTGTTTGTGTCCCCAGGGGGCAGGTGGAGCATCAGCCTTAGGGGGTGTACCCATAATGTTTCAGAGAGTACAGGGAGCAAACAAGCACTGATTGGAAGCTGAGAAACTGAGACTCATGGCACTCTGTCTTCCAGTCTTATTGCCTTCAGACTCCCACCTTAGCAATGGGAGGAGGTTGGGGAAAACTCATTATAGAGCCTTCAGAGCTCTCAGGTCCACTCTGTATTGAACATCATGCAGTCAGGAGGCCAGAGACAAGCAATCTGCACCACAGGCTCAGAGCTCTGTTACTGCAGTGATCTCAGGCAGTGGGTCTTCTCCACACGGAGAGAGGTGGGGCCACCAACCACCATGCTCATTCACTGTTGAAACTCTTCCCACGCTTAGGCTTCTTAGTGGGTCTTTGCAACGATCCCTCTTGGGGCCATCTCCCACCCAAGACACTGTGGCAGGGTATTCCCAGTTAACGAGCCATGATTGTTTCTCATTTTAGGATTCCCAGAATAGCCTTTCAGTCTTCAAACAAAGCCCCCCTTCAGATAGTACGTGGCTACAGCTCTCCAAACATTAATGGGGAGTTGACTAAGTCTCTCTTTCTCCAATTGCTAGCCTTGCCAGGCAGAAGTAATCATTTCACTGAGTGAGTTTCTTGTGGGAAGTGTGGGGGACTGTCCAGCAGCGGGTCTGCCAGTCTGTTGCTAAGGGCCATCTGGGGATTACCTCATTGGTCTGTGACTTGACTTCCCCTTCCCCCTTTCCCAGGAACTGAACTGGAGCTGCAGAATTGTTTTCTATGTTTTCTGTAATCTCGCTTCTTTTTCTCTGTGCTTTTCACTTTCCTAATTCTTTCATGATTCTGATGTTCTTCCTCTATTTCTTTTAGAATTTAGTCTCTCCTTTGTTACCTGACTTTCCTTATTCACAGTCAATATGAAGGAGATGGTCTCTGCCATCTTGCCTTTGCCCCCCACCCCAACTTTCTGAAACATTTTAAAAAAAGGAAAAATTAGGTCATCACGTCTCCTTCTGGTTTCAGTTGACTTTTTTGTAATTATTTACCTTAATGGTTAAATGAATATAAAAAAAGTCACTCTGCCTCTTAACTTGCCTGTATTCCCTTATCCTTCCTATCTATTTTTTCACGGGGTTGTATCTTGGGAAAACTGCCACAAATTATACATGTATGCATCATATAATAACACATGATTCTGTCATATATATGTTGTGTACTTAAAGACAGTTTTAACCTTTTCCTTGTTTTGAGTATTTTTTTACTGTTAAAATTTTTGTGATGGAATTGACCAATATACCTGTCAATTTGCTGTACTTTCAGAAATTATTTCTTGCATGTGAATTAGGCTAGATTTGTAATTTTACATAGGGGTTTTCTTAAAACATGTTATATTATACACATTGTATTTCATTGTTTAAATTAAAAGAACCTGCAAATATATTTTAGTTTCAGGCAAAACAGCATGGGATAATACTTACATTGGAACATTTCAAAGCACTAGATTAAATCTAAGCCTCATATCAATAGGGAGTTTGCAACCGAATAACTGGAATTTGTGATGAGTGTCTTTTGTATGCCAGTGTTTCTACCCTTCTGAAGTTCCATGGAACATTCTCTTCCCCTTCTCTCTCTCTTCTCTCTCCTCTCTCTCTCTCTCTCTCTCTCTCTCATATATTACACACAGTTATGTAATATTATTTAGTACAAGAAATAGGATAGGTATAATTATTTAAGAACTGGGAGGATATCCTCTCCCTCTCTATCACAGTCTTTTTCCCTCCCCCTTAGACATAGCTGCTCTCCTTACTTTTAATTGATAATTTTTATAGTTTTACCTCCTTTTGTTACACATATTCTTGAAGCTTTAAAATCTGGTGCCACACATATTCTCTGAGTTCCCACGTTGTTGTTACTGGAGCATCCCATCTTGGACCAGCCCAAGGCTAATGTGTCCCATGTGTCTGTTTGCAAGTTCCCAGTGAAGCAAAAGCACTGGAAGGTGTGGTGTGGGGGCACAGGGTATATAATAAGAGAGTTTACCGCTGCTCAAGTAGGAAGGTGGTTAAATAAAATTTCTGTTAGGCTTTTGTTCTCTACATCTTAATGAAAGATATGCACTTAGAATGCACAGAGCAAGGAAATTGAGAAAGTAATATTGACGTTTAAAGTGGTTGGAGAGTAAAAACAGTCTGGAACCCAAACATAAGCTTAAAACCTTTGAGATGAACTGGAATCCAATTGCAGCCTTATAGATAATTGAGTATCTGCAGAAGCAGCTGACGCCCTTTGGTTTCTTTGAACACGCCTGGCCCAGGGAATTTAGAGAGGCTGGCAAGGAGGAATCCAGGGGAGGCAGGGGTTGCTGGCCCCACATAAAAACAAGATAAACCAGCAGATTAGTACAACATGTGTTGATCTAAAAAGCAACCTCCCTCAACTTTGGAGCTTGTAAAAACCAAATTTGTGCTGCTTCACTTCTGCTGTACACTCTTTGTGTGTGTGTGGTGCGGGGGTCAAACTAGGGGACTCCTGGCATGCTAAAGCTAAGTGTTTCTACCAGCTAGGCTGTAGTCCCGCCTGTAATATTTTTGTTTGTTTGTTTGAGGTGAGTTTTTTGTTGTAACCCAAAAACTGGCTCAAAACTTCCAGGCTCAATGATCTTTCCAGCTTCAGTATTGTCAGTATGTGGGAAATTTCCTGGATGTGTTCCCCAAACTGGCTTACCCCCGGAACTTGTATGAAAATATTCCCTTTGCACCACACTAACCAGAAATGGACAGAAAAAGGGGATCCTGGGGAAAATGTTACGTTAGATTAAACCAAGTTGGGCATTGTGACAAGGGCCACCATTGAATCTGTTTGACCACTAGGAAAATAAAACGGACTAATCCACTCTTCGCTGCTTGCAAGTGACAACCCCATTGCCATGTTTGTTCTGAAGGCCACACCCTTTCCCACATTCTGCCCACAGCCTGTGACTTAAGTGTCACAGAGGACAATTTAAGAGGCACCCAATGGCCTGAGTCCTCTGACAGAAAGGCAAGCCTTGCCCAGCTTTCCTTTGGGTCTGCAACGTGGCAGCCTAACACATGGTTGGACTCAGTCGCCTTCCGTCCCCACCCACTTGCCCCTGAGGTCAGACCTACCAACCCACCATCCAGCAGCTTTCTAGCCTTCCCCAGAACTCCCTCCTTATTTTTCTCTCTCAGATTAATTTTCCCCTGGATAAAAAACATTTTCTTGTATTTCTAATTCTTGACTTTTTTTGTCTGCTTCTTTCAAAAATAGCACATGCTATTCTTAAGGCTATCTTCCCCTCCACATCATTTCTTAGGGAGTTTTCCTTCAACGTCTGCCTTTTTTGTAGGATCCCTTGTTTCTGGATCCAAAAGTCCTCATCTTTCTTTGTTTTGCTCCCTTTTTTGATAGAGTTCAGTTCTCCATATGGGAGGTTAAATTTGCAAACCCCTTTGCATGGGACCAAAAACTTTATTTGAAATCTCACCTTGAGGGATGACGTTGGCTGGTAGGGAATTTTAGTTTGGGAAAACATTCTCCCTCAGAATTTTAAAAACACATTCTCCATTTGCCCTCATAGGTTTTCAAGTGTGAATTGTTGAGAAAAGAACAGTGCCACTTTTTGATTTCTGATGCTCTGCATTGGACCCTAATTTTTCTCCTAGAGCTTTTATAATCTCTTAATCCTTGACACTCTGAAAATTCACCATTGCTGTACCTTATTGTTAGTGTTGTTTCCTTCTTTGTTCTTTGCATGATGATTCCCCATCAGTTTGCAGATATCTTGCCTTCAGTTCTGGAAAGACTCTTAACCGTTCTTTGATATTTTTGTTTTCTCCCTTTTCTGAATTCACATTTGTTGCTATGGGGTTACCTCTTGCCATCAAAGCCACCTTTTCCTTAGTGTTCCCAAAGAAATAATTAACCTAATTAACATTAAGAAATTGTTTACTCCTTGTGTGAAATTTTAAGTTCTAAGGCCTCTTTTTTCTTGTTTTTTTTTTTATTCAATGTGGGCCATACAATGCTTGCGGTCATTTCTCCCCTCTGGCCCCCACCCCCTCCCTTACCACCCACTCAGCGCCCTCTCACTCCCCCCCCATACCCGGCAGAAACTATTTTTGCCCTTATATCTAAATTTTGTTGAAGAGAGATTATTAAGCAAACAATAGGAAGGGAAACAGGGTTTTTTGCTAGTTGAAGATAAGATAGCTATACAGGGAAGTTAACTCACATTTAATATTCCTGTGCTGTTGGTGTTACCTTCTAGGGGGATTCTTTTTGATACTAACCTTTTCTCTAGTTTCCTGGTTCCCCTTCTCCTATTTGGCCTTAGTTGCTTTTAAGGGTATTCTGCTTTAGTTTCTCTGTGTTGAGGCAAACAAATGCTAGCTAATTTTTTAGGTGTCTTACCTATCCATATATCAACCCTTGTGTGCTCTCGCTTTTACATGAAATTGAAGCAGCAATCAGAGCTCCCCCAAAGAAAGTCCAGGACCTGATGGGATCGCTGCTGAATGATAATTAAAAAAACTGATACCAACCCCTTAAACCTGTTCACAAATAGAAAGGGAAGTAAAACTGCAACACATTTTAATGAAGCCAGTATTACACTACCCAAACCAGGCAAAGATACTCAAAAAGGAGAAACTATAGGCCCATCCTCCTTAATTAACATTGACGCAACATACCCTCAACAAAATAAAGGCAACCGAATTCACACGCATAAAGATTATTCACACTACCAAGAGGCTTCATCCAGGGAGCAGGGGTGGTTCAACATCACGAAAATCCCAATAAACGTAAAAACCACATTAAAAAGAAAGACAAAAACACCTGAATCCACTCATAGACGCAGAAAAGCCTTGATAAGATCCAACACCATTTCATTAATAAAAGCTCTAGAAAACTAGGAATAGAAGGAAAGTAGCTCAACATTCTAAAAGCTATACTATGACCAAACGCTACAGCCAGCATTATACTTAACGGAGAAAAACTGAAACCATTCCCTCTAAAATCAGGAACCAGACAAGGATGCCCACTATCTCCTCCTATTCAACATAGTACTGGAATTCCTAGCCAGAGCAATTAGGCAAGAAGAAGGAATAAAAGGATACAAATAGGTAAAGAAACTGTCAAAATATCCCTATTTGCAGATGACATGATCCATACCTTAAAGACCCAAAAAACTCTACTCAGAAGCTTCTAGACATCATCAATAGCTATAGCAAGGTAGCAGGAATAAAATCAACATAGAAAAATCATTAGCATTTCTATACACAACCAATGAGCAAAACTGAAAAAGAATGTATGAAAAACAATTCCATTTACAATAGCCCAAAAAAAAATCAAATACCTAGGTGTAAACCTACAAAAGATTGAAAGACTCTACAAGGAAAACTATACACTTCTGAAAAAGGATTGAGGAAGACTATAGAAAGTGGAGAGATCTCCCATGCTCATGGATTGGTAGAATCAACATAGTAAAAATGTCATACTCCCAAAAGTAATCTACATGTTTTAATGCAATTCCCATCAAAATTCCAATGACATTCATTAAGAGATTGAAAAATCTACTAGAATTTATATGGAAACACAAGAGCCACGAATAGCCAAGGCAATACTCAGTCAAAGAAACAATGCAGGAGGTATCACAATACCTGACTTCAAACTATATTACAAAGCAATAACAATAAAAACAGCATGGTACTGGCACAAAAACAGACATGAAGACCAGTGGAACAGAATAGGACCCAGATATGAAGCCACACAACTATACCAACTTGTCTTTGACAAAGGAGCTAAAAATATACGATGGAGAAATAGCAGCCTCTTCAACAAAAACTGCTGGGAAAACTGTCTAGCAGTCTGCAAAAAAACTGAAACTAGATCCATGATATCCCCCTATACCAAGATTAACTC